GTTTCGGAGTTTTACTAGTGTCCGATGGGTCACCCTATATTGATGTGTTTTGACTATTTATTTTTTTATTATTTAATTTAAATAATTTTTTTATAATGAAATTAATTTATGTAATGAAATTTTATCAAGATTTTTATCAAATAAAAGCTCCCATCGCTCTACGTTTTCCACAAAAGGGGAACTGATTTCCACATGAGTGAAACTGATTTCATTGTCACATATGAAAAATATGAATTTAAAGGCAAAAGGCCCGAAAAAGTATATATTAGGAATCAATAAATTTGCATGAAAAAGCTTCCTAAAACTATGCTTACGATTTTCGAGCAGCACATACCTTTCGTGAATGCTTTGAGTAGCCGATGGGAGCTCGCAAAAGTTGATACATATTGAATGAATAAAGAAAGCACGGCCGAGTTGAGTTTTTAATAGAATAGAAAAAGTGAGTGAGTTAAAAGGAATAAAAAACTCTCATAAGAAAATTATTTAAAATAATTGGTATGTAAAATTTATCCCAGCCTGTTGCTTCAAGTTTCACTTAAAGCTGTAGAGACACCAGAAATACATTGAGAGCGATAGAGATGCTAGCTACTTGGCAGCTAGTTGAGAAGTTCAAAGCACGAGCGATAGATATTAAAAATCAGTATCAATGGGTCATACAGAAAACGTTGCATACTTTTTGGCACACTATTTGTCGTAAAAGCCGTATTCCATCAAAGTCACAAACCTTAGCTTATCACTGCTGTGCGCCTCAACGTTTGCCGCCACATCACAAATTTTTAAGTTTTGGTGTATTTTATCGAGCACTTAAAGTCGATTTTTTGTGGCACATTTTGCGGCGCACAAGAAATCACAACAGTGAGGCGCTACGATTTGTGACTCTGCTAGAATATAGGGGCAAATTCAAATTCGAATAAAAATGTTGCTCTGATTAAACTATAAAAATAATAATTTACGAAATTTAAAAGAATTTCGTGGAATACCGCGAGTTTCTCAAAATTAATGTATCTATGCTGTTGTCGGTTAAAAGTACACCTTTATCCGACATTTATAAGTGTTTTGATTTATCGCTTCGCGAGGTGCTAAAAAATTCCACTTTGATTACATTTAACCTCGTAATTAGTACAATGTATTTCTGATTACCAAACTTTCCACCTAAGAAATATTTAGAAACCGCAACAAACATTTCCCTACCATCGATTTTTT